AGTTCTATTCTGCAAGATGATTAGTTAAAAAAAAAAACTAATTTAAAAACTGTGATAAAAATAGTATGTTCTTGCAGAGACCCGAGAACATATTCTGACGTAATAGTAATCTGAAATCGTCATAAGACCAGTAAACATTATTAGAATTTAAAATAACTGTTTTCTATCTGAATATATTTTAAAATGTAACTGATTCAAGTCTTCAGTGTCACGTGATCTTTCAGAAATCAAATATGCTGATTTGCTGCTCAAGAGACAGTTGTGATGCTGAATATTTTTGAGGACATTTCTGATGAATAAAAAGCTCAAAAGAACAGAAATGATTTAAAATAGAAATGGTTTGTAACATGATAAATGTCTTTACTGTCATGTTTGATCAGTTTAACGTATCTGAATAAAAGTATTAATTTCTTACAGAATCTTAAAAAAATCTTACAGACCTCTTTAATGGTACTCTAACAGTATTATATATATATGTGTTTTAATTAGCTTTAGGCTGACTAAATAATAAAAACACATTGGTTATGATTTATCTTCTTAATTTTGAAATAACCAGATTCTGGATATTTCATTTCTGAGCAGAAATATATGCAGCGCTTTAAAATATACAATTCATTCTTTGTTGAGTCTTATAGATTATAAACATGGAAGCAGATAGACCTAAAGAATGTGGGTTTGTAAAGAAATGCATGCACTTTTGCTTTCACCAGAGGCTTTTTTTTAAATCTCACATCTTTTAATAACAGACCTGTGGTTTAAATCAGAGATGTAACATTTCACTTCCCTTCTTTCCGGGTAAAAACCAAAAAGTCCACACTTATTCATGAAACGAGAGCACATATTTGTATCAGATGTGTAAAATTAATGTGAAAAGAAAAATACTTTGAATTCAAAGTGCATTTAAATAAACTGGCAAAACCAAGAGTTCTCTCCCCAAGCAAAAGCCCAAACAGCGATTTAATGAAAAAATAACAGGTACCGAATAGGAAAAGTACACAAAAAAGGTTTAGATTTAATTGTCATTTGTGAAGGTTCAGTGTTGCTTAACTTCAACAAAGCTCCATACGCCACAACAGTAGACACAGAAGACAGCAGAACATTTTTCATTTCATCCAGCATGCAGTGAACATTACTAGTGGAGCAAACAGACATATGAAACGTTCACATAAATTAAAAATCACTTAAATTGCCAGCTGTTCCAGTGAACAACCAGCTGGCTTCTTATATTTGTCTGTAACAATCAGAAAAATGGGCTTCTTTCTTTGGATAGGCCAGAAGACAGGTTGGACGGATGATTTCAGTTCACTTTGGAGAGCTGATGTTGAGACAACAGTTTTTTGAGCTGGGCCACTTCTTCAGTCAAAGCGCTGATCTGGAATCTAATAGCACTGTGACTTTCTATATGCCTGTGAATTGAAGGGTTATTTTGAAGTGCTGTTGAACAAGCTGATGGCATTGTGTGTGTTTGTGACCTCCATAAAGCCTCTGTAGACTGAGACTGTGACGTATTCTCTACTGGAAGATGGACTTCAGCATCAGCACCTTCAATTCCACATGGAGTCTTGAAACGTAGTTTATGAGGAAGACCTTTCATATTGTTCGAAATGAAAATTTGCTTAAAATGTAATCCCCCTCAGGCCGTCCAAGATGTAGATGAGTTTGTTTCTTCATGAGAACAGAGAAATTTAGCAGCATATCACTTGCTCATCAATGGATCCTCTGCATTGAATGGGTGCCGTCAGAATGAGAGTCCAAACAGCAGATAAAAACTCCACAAGTAATCCACACCACTCCAGTCCATCAATAAACATCTTGTAAAGTGAAAAGCAGCATGTTTGTGAGGGAAAAAACATCATTAAGACTTTTTTTTAACTTAAAATCATTGTTCCTGGATAAAATATGAGTAATTTATCCATAATATTGCTTTCTCCAGTCATCTCGTCTGAATCAGGCAAGAAATATGCACAGAACAAGCACTGTTTACAAGCAAAAACAGTCCAAAACTGTTCAAGTATGTCGGTAGGTTTTGATGCGAGAGGACATAAGAGAATGGACTTTTTCAAGCTTTAAGGTTACAAAATGTCTTGAAAGATTAAACAAACTCATGAAAAAACATTGAAGATTGAATAAAGAAAGTCTTCTAAATTTTGTATGGCCTGAGGGTGAAATTGTCCATTTTTGGTGAACTTTACCTTTAAGAACCTTTTGACACAGTACGTGTATTTTTACCAGTGGCAAAAATAATCTTAAACCAGCTGCAACAATCTTTATAACATGTGCCCACTCAAACCAGGCTAGAATATGGAATCCTAGTGAAGTGCTAGGATCAAGAGGGTCACGGTTAGAGACATGTCAGTTTTAGGCCTCCACCGGCAGCCCGCGCGCTCCCCCTTCATCTGTCGTGGTGCTGACGGACACTACGCAGACTGGGGGTGTTGGCCTTGAACTTGCCTTTCCCTCCCACTCCGCATTCTCCCCCATTCACTCACAGCTGCGTCTGCTACAGTTCCCTAGGCAACCGTTATGCTGCCTGCCTAGCAACTGGTTTTCCTCCCCCCTCCCTCCTTGTAGATAGAGAGAGGGGTTGATCGGGTGCTGGGAGAGACAAAGAACCCAATGTGTGTTTATCCAATGTGGATCATGGAATAGGAAGCAGCGTAGGCATCCTCTGTGGGGCTGTATTGTCTGAGCAACCACACTCGCCGGTCCACTAGTAGATCTGAGATCCAAGGGGAGCAGATGTTAATAGTTATGAATGGGGGCAATATTTTGAAATCCTGCCACGTCTTCATTCATAAAAGCAGAATGCCTAATAAACATTACACCTCAGTGTTTACAAATCAAGACCAGCTTTATATTGTAGAAGTGCATATCGTTTATTGATGTGTTTGTGTAGTTAAAGTACAGGATAAAAACACACATTTTATTATGTCATAGTCAACAGCCAGCCAATAAATATATAAACAAACCATGGTAGTGCCCCCACATGGTAATATTTCAAACATGAGACATGGTAAGTGTTTTAAAGGAATGGTTAACCCAAAAAATTTAAAATGGAGAACGTTTACGCACACTCAGGTGATCCAAGATGTAGATGAGTTTGTTTCTTCATCAGAGCAGATTGGGAGAAATTTAGCATTACATCACTTGCTGTATGAGAGTCCAAACAGCTGATAAAAACATCACAGTAATCCACAAGGGGGATTATTATGGATTATAGATTGGTATTTTAAAATACAGAACACAGAGCAATTTAGGTTGCTGAGCCTGTAAACCTTTTGTTTCCATCCACTGCTACTTGCCAGTGTCTTTTTGCATTGCTTGCATGTTTAACGTTCAGCATAAATGCATTCGTGAATCAATAACTTTGTCTCCTGCATCTTAAAATCGCAACAGAAGTGCTGATGTTGACATTGAACATGTAGCTGCGATAAACTGTCTCGCAGACAGTGAGACTGTGGGAATCTCTAGAGGAAATAAATTCACACATTCTTGTTTCTTTTAGCTTTGTATGTTGAATTCACTCCTTACTATAGAGAATCAATGACGTTCACTCTCACATCTTTAAATAGCCGTTTAGGTGCTGACGCTGCCATTGAAGTTGTTCCTGTAATCAGCCACTCTGTGAGCCAAATATACTGTTGCCCTGCAAAGAGCTGCTTGTGATCAGTCTACTGCGGAGTATATGCGGGTCATGTGTTTTGTTCACCAGATTTAAATATTTAAAATGGCAAATAAATATTATAAACTCTACTATGAATATGTTCAGTTCTATTCTGCAAGATGATTAGTTAAAAAAAAAAACTAATTTAAAAACTGTGATAAAAATAGTATGTTCTTGCAGAGACCCGAGAACATATTCTGACGTAATAGTAATCTGAAATCGTCATAAGACCAGTAAACATTATTAGAATTTAAAATAACTGTTTTCTATCTGAATATATTTTAAAATGTAACTGATTCAAGTCTTCAGTGTCACGTGATCTTTCAGAAATCAAATATGCTGATTTGCTGCTCAAGAGACAGTTGTGATGCTGAATATTTTTGAGGACATTTCTGATGAATAAAAAGCTCAAAAGAACAGAAATGATTTAAAATAGAAATGGTTTGTAACATGATAAATGTCTTTACTGTCATGTTTGATCAGTTTAACGTATCTGAATAAAAGTATTAATTTCTTACAGAATCTTAAAAAAATCTTACAGACCTCTTTAATGGTACTCTAACAGTATTATATATATGTGTTTTAATTAGCTTTAGGCTGACTAAATAATAAAAACACATTGGTTATGATTTATCTTCTTAATTTTGAAATAACCAGATTCTGGATATTTCATTTCTGAGCAGAAATATATGCAGCGCTTTAAAATATACAATTCATTCTTTGTTGAGTCTTATAGATTATAAACATGGAAGCAGATAGACCTAAAGAATGTGGGTTTGTAAAGAAATGCATGCACTTTTGCTTTCACCAGAGGCTTTTTTTTAAATCTCACATCTTTTAATAACAGACCTGTGGTTTAAATCAGAGATGTAACATTTCACTTCCCTTCTTTCCGGGTAAAAACCAAAAAGTCCACACTTATTCATGAAACGAGAGCACATATTTGTATCAGATGTGTAAAATTAATGTGAAAAGAAAAATACTTTGAATTCAAAGTGCATTTAAATAAACTGGCAAAACCAAGAGTTCTCTCCCCAAGCAAAAGCCCAAACAGCGATTTAATGAAAAAATAACAGGTACCGAATAGGAAAAGTACACAAAAAAGGTTTAGATTTAATTGTCATTTGTGAAGGTTCAGTGTTGCTTAACTTCAACAAAGCTCCATACGCCACAACAGTAGACACAGAAGACAGCAGAACATTTTTCATTTCATCCAGCATGCAGTGAACATTACTAGTGGAGCAAACAGACATATGAAATGTTCACATAAATTAAAAATCACTTAAATTGCCAGCTGTTCCAGTGAACAACCAGCTGGCTTCTTATATTTGTCTGTTACAATCAGAAAAATGGGCTTCTTTCTTTGGATAAGCCAGAAGACAGGTTGGACGGATGATTTCAGTTCACTTTGGAGAGCTGATGTTGAGACAACAGTTTTTTGAGCTGGGCCACTTCTTCAGTCAAAGCGCTGATCTGGAATCTAATAGCACTGTGACTTTCTATATGCCTGTGAATTGAAGGGTTATTCTGAAGTGCTGTTGAACAAGCTGATGGCATTGTGTGTGTTTGTGACCTCCATAAAGCCTCTGTAGACTGAGACTGTGACGTATTCTCTACTGGAAGAAGGACTTGAGCATCAGCACCTTCAATTCCACATGGAGTCTTGAAACGTAGTTTATGAGGAAGACCTTTCATATTGTTCACTTGCCATCCTAATGAATTTGTATCCACTGCTGTAATACCGCTTGGCTGTTCACCAGGGAATTTACGGATATGTTCACCTCCAGCATCATCTGAAAGCTCTGGGCTCCCAATGCTTGACCCTCCAGGCATGAAGAACCGAAAGTTTTGCGCCTCATCTGGACCACCATGCTGTGGGATTGATAATGCGTGAACAAAAGTAGGTTGTAAGTTTGTACTGGGGCAGTTGTAGGGTATTGCTGGAGATGTTTGGTTATGTGGACCAAAGGAGCAGATCTGTGCTGGTGAATCTGTGGGATCTTTGATCAAACCGAATTTGAACTTAAGTGCCAGTAGCTCAGCTTTCAGACGGGCGTTGTCTTCAAGAAGAGCCAGAACGTTGCTTTCTACCACCTTGTCATTGATGCGGCGTTTCTCACGCGAATGCCTGGCAGCTTCGTTGTTCTTTTTGCGCTTGTCCCAATAACCTTGGTCTTTTTTCTCGGCAGGGATACACTCACGTTTGCCATGTAGAGTGATACGGCTGTCAATCTCAGAGCTTTCTTGGTCTTTCAGACCTCTGGGATGGATAAGAAAAGAGCGGGCTAGCATGCAGCTGGACGTTAATATGGACACTGTTTCTTCTGTGAAGGACATAGTTCCATCCTGACTGACTGGATCACTTATTTCTTGAGGGTACACCACTCTGTTCTGCCAGCGTGACACTTGAATCCTTTATGCTTTGAGTCTGGGGCTTATTGTGTGTTTGAAATCACAAGACAAGCTCACAGGTCGTCTAAAATGTTGGCACTCAAAAAAACTCTCTTTGTTGCCATCTTGAAGATCTTTACATCCCCCTAGTGGTTGAGTGCAGAAATAAAATTAAGGGGTTTATGTAGGCTCACATATTACGTAACTGTGAAGCAATATGGCAATTTTAGAAATAAAGGTGTATATAATACATGTGAAGCCAAATTATAAAGACAGTAACTTTAGAACATTTAAGCATAACTTAAAAACAAAGAGCCATGGTAATTGATTATTCAGATTTTAAATTCTAATTAATAATTAAATTCTAGTTTTTGAAAGTTGTGGCTTAAATAGCACTTTTAAATGTCAATAACTAAATAGAGAGGAAACTTTAACAGACTGGGGGGGGGGGAATAATAGGCTACTTTTTAATGTTTTTTTTTTTAATTTTTTATCAAAAGCCTATGAAATGATAGCAATGATAGTGTTACTGATAGTATTACTAAAAAAATCCATGATATTTTTTAAACAAATATTAATATAGTTAATATTTACCTTGAAAAATATATTTGACAACTTTTGAAGTAATGGAAATGGTAATATCTATCTATCTAGTAACCAACTTAAATACAAAGATTGCATTATAAAGAACTTGGGCACGTTTTTTACTAGGTTTTTAAAGGATTTTATTTTGTCAGATATTTTGCATCTCTCCCATGGCTATTATGTTACACCATAACAGTAGCCTAATGTATGCTACTCATTTATATATATAAAATAATAAAAAAAAATTTTTGCATTTACACGCGGTTGCTGAACGTGGAGTGCTTAAAACGTGCTCACTAACTAATATTAAGCTTTTTGAGATTATTTCAAAGTCTGATGCTTTTGCAAGTATACTACGTCAGTCATATGAATTTATTAGATCTGCTTACCTTTCAGTAAAACGCTGAATGGTTCACTTTAAAATCACCCGCGGCAGCTGCATGCCAGGAGAAAGTTCTGCTGCGATATAATCACTGAATGAAACGCTGCACTGGCGTGCTCTTCCTCTTTGTCGCGAGCTCGTGATCAGAGTCAGGCAGGCCAGGGGTCTGTCTTCATACCTCTGTTCCTCTGAAGGGTTCAGCTCGGGTCGCGAGGTCAGCTGTATCAACTCTGAGTCAGACCGACCAACGAACGCAACAGCAGAGCGCGTAAAATGCTCACCAATGCTGGATTAAACATAAACACGACATAAATACAATAAATATATCCATTTTGAACATGCCACAGTGTTAAGAGCAGCAATATACAAACGTTCAAATGGTGGCAAGTGTTTGCGTTACAGAAATCCTGAATTATTTGGTGTAGTTACTTGTAAATGCACTTTATGCTGTTGTAGTGAATTATTTTGACATGTAATATGTAACAGTCTTTGTGGTTATGTTGATATACTTGGCAATAACGGAGGCAATTGATCTCTTGATGTAATTAGACGAGATCAGGGGTAGGCAAATTCGGTCCTAGAGAGCCGCAGTCCTGCAGAGTTCAGCTCCAACCCTAATCAGACACACCCGAACAAGCTAATCAATGTCTTCAGGATTACTAAGGCTATAGGCAGGTGAGTTTTGTTTTCAGGGTTGGAGCTGAACTCTGCAGGACTGCGGCTCTCTAGGACCGAACTTGCCTACCCCTGGACTAGATCAAAAGAATATGCTGGGTTCAATACAAATTGTGCTCAATTGGCAGCATTTGTGGCATATTGTGGATTATGCCTACTACAAAAATTATTTTCGACTTATTTTCTTGAAATTTTTTTTTTTTCACATTCAGTGACCAGTTTTTGGGAAGTTAAAAGCAAAAATGTGAAGCTTATACTAAAAATGGTAAAAGCTTCCATTTATACTTCTGTTAAGAAAATTATAACTTGAGCTGTAAAGCTGTTCTTATCATTTTATTGGTTGTTTTAGGGATTTAGTCATGTTGTCATGACAACAAAATTATTGGATATGGATTGGCCTTTTCTTCTATTGAGTGCCCCATTGTCAGATTTTTTTTTTAATTTTTATTTTGTCTACATGCCACAACAGTACAACTTAACTTGTACTGACCCCTGGAAGATTCCTTTAGTTAAAAGTTTGTAGCTGATCTTGAATTCTGAATCGATCTAGCCAGTCCAAGATCTGTTTCACAGGACAGGCCTGCCTTTTTGGTTGTTTACAAAATATTAATTATGCGCTGGAATAACTGGAAAAAGCCTAACCTGCATTCTTGACTTAATTGTTTTCATAGATTTCACCCGCAGTGATACAACATCACTTTTTTATGTTAGAGTCTGTTTTGTTTTAAGCAAATGCACTTGTGATAGTAGCCATGCTGAATGGAGAAAGTGACTTTAAGCTTATGAGCAGCTTTACACATTTATCTGATGTGTAATCCTGGAGAGCTCCTTACAGGCCATCCTTTCGGCACAGTATTGGCGAGTCTTTAATTTCATAAATTATTTATGACGTTCTGTAACAGGACATCTCTGGTCAGTCTCTGTCCACCACAGGTCCTTGAACTGCAAAAGGTTGAATTGCTAATAAATTAGAAAAATTATTCTAATCTAGTGCTTGTCAAAGGTTTGAAAACATTATGATTTTTAAATATTTTTATGAAATCTCTTAGGCTCACCAAGGGTGCATTTATTTGTTCAAAAATATATTGAAAACAATAATATTGTGAAATATTATTACAATTTGAAATAACTATTTTGTATTTGAATATGTTTTTAAATTACCCCCCCCCCCCCAACATTTGAATGGGAGTGTATCATGGTTTCTGCATAAATATTAAGCAGCATAACTGTTTTCAACATCAATAATAATAAGAAATGGTTCTTGAGCAGCAAGTCAGCATATTAGAATGATTTCTGAAGGATCATGTGACACTGAAGACTGAAGTAATGATGCTGAAAATTCAGCTTTGCACCACAGAAATTAATTACATTTTAAAATATATTACAATAGACAACAGTTATTTTAAATTGTATTACTATTTCACAATATTAATGTTTGTACTGTATTTTTGAGCTCATAAATGCAGCCTTGGTAAGCATAAAACACTTAAAAACATTGACAAATCGTATTTTTTCCAAACTTTTGACAAGTACTGTACATAGTCTTACATAGGGCCTGTCTTGGAAAAGAAATGTCCTCAGGCAGCCTGAGATAAACATCGTAAGGACTTTTTGTAAAGTAGTCCTTCATTGAGTTACTGCTGTACAATGAAACCTTATTTCTCAGTCTTCCAGTCAGACACAACACTTACTGTATTTCTTACTTTAAAGAACCTTCACCCTTAAATAAAGGAGTGTACATATGCAACTAATTTGATCAGATGAGTCGGGATATGTTGGCAGAATATGCTGGAACAGAGAAATTATTCATAGAGTAGCATTCTTTTATTTTCCATGTGCTCTTAAAAGCTTATACGGTATGAAGACCAATTAACAATTTTTTACTGTTTTAAGAGCAGTTTTATTACTGCAATTCCGCATAATAAGTACGAACACATGCTCTGTTATGGCTTGTGACGTCTCTGTTAGATTAAGTACATTAAGGCAGTTGCTTAAGTCTGAGTCACTGAGCCTACACACACACACACACACACACACACACACAGAGATAGGGCTCTTGAACAGATATCACAGGGTGAGTTGAGGACAGAGCGATGTCAACACTTACTCATTTCCCTCTCTCTATCTCTGTCTGGTTTTCAGTGTATGGTGTAAATTGTTGTTTTGAAGCCCAGTCTGCTTAGTCTGGTCAATCTGCTCAAATGCATTTTATCATAGACAGCAAATGCAAAGTAGCAATTAAATGCAAGAGGAGCAACTAGTATCCTTTAATCTCCACAGTACAACATATGGCTCAATTTACTGTTATAAATTACTGGGGAAAAAAATATTTCACTACTTTCAGATATTCTGAGTGTTAAAACTTTCTTGGCTAATTTAAGAAAATGTGCATGATATGCAGCAAAATAAGACTAAAGAAGGGTATTGTAATAAATAAAGAGGGGATTTTGCATTAATATTATTTCCTCATTTTTGAAAAGTAAATTGTTCGTCATAAGACTTCCATGAGACAACTTGTCAATTAGCACCTTTTTTAAATTTTTTTTTTTTTTGAGAAGTCACATTTCTTTGGCCCTAGACATGTTCCTCTATTTTCAATTTATAACAAAGCTCCTGAAAAAAAATTATAATTAGGCATATTAGTTTTTCCATATCTGATTTCTCCTCACCTATAGGACAATTTACATAAAAAACGGCTTATTTATTTATTTATTTTTTAAATGTACTGTAGAATTTTGTGTGTGTCTTTGTACAGGTCAATGCAATCAGACATCAGAAAACAGTCCATGCATTCAGAAATTAAACACAAATTGGAAACTCAAAATTGGCTTCTTTCTTTTAAACCGAATGTTTTCATGACCTCACTCTTCTTCCATGTCTTGGTAACACTGTAGCATTACTTTCTTCTAAGCAAGAGCCATGCATGCAAGTTAATGAACCAGTATGCCAAGAACTCCAGCTCATGGCTGATAGATCTGTTTGATGTCAAAGAAAGGTACAATAATGTGAGGCTGGAATGACATGGTGGTGAATAAATGATGAAAATGTTTTGGTGAACTAGTTTAAGTGATGTTGTGTTGCATTCGCTGAGCTATTGTGCTTTCAGAGGCTGTAGCGGAAACCTTATTCTTCCTGCCTCCCATCTTTCTCTCTGTCTGTCACTGTGGGCTTCTGATCCTTGTTTAATATCATTTTATTCACAATTATCTTATAAGGCACAGCAATGTGCCACCATATATTGTTCATGTCTAAAATTGATGTGCTGTGTGACACAGAGCTGAGGACAAGATGTTTTCAATTCTATTGAATTCTATTGTTATATATATAAGGACATAACAAATCATCTGGTCCTTAGAAGGTCTTAAAATGAAGAAAATACAACCTCAGATGAACAACAAATGACATATTGCATTTTGTCATTATTTATTTAACAAAAATGAAGCCGTGTGGAAAAACTAAGTACACCCCATGATTCAATAGCTTGTAGAGCCGTGTTAACTTAAAGTAACAATAAAGTAACAGCAATAACTTAAAGTAATTGGTTTCTGTATGACTTTATCAGACTCTCATATCATTGTGGAGGAATTTAGAATTTTGAGCCACACTTCTTTACAACATGGCTTCAGTACGGCATCTGTTTACGCACAGCTCTCATAACCATTTCAGCATTCACGTCTGGACTTTGACTGGCCCATTTCAACACCTTGATTGTTTTCTTTTTCAGACATTCCGTTGTAGATTTGTTGGTGTGCTTGAAATCATTGTCCTGTTGCATGACCCAATTCGGCCAAGCTTTAGCTGTCGGACAAATGGCCTCACATTTGACTATGCAGAGTACCAGAGGAGTTCATGGTCGACTCAATGACTGCAAGGTGCTCAGGTCCTGTGGTTGCAAAACAAGCTAATATCATCACCTCTCCCTGTATTTACCTAGTTCTAAGACCCTCTAAGGACCAGATTTATTGTGTCCTGACACATAAAGCCATAGGATTCAAAGAGGGTGTACTGTCTTTTTCACATGACTGTATGAGTTAATTAAGAATGTCCTTAGGTGTCTTGAAAAGTATGTGTGATGAGATTCAGCAAACTTATGGAAATTGATTTGTCCCCAGAGTATATTAAGTTAATTAAAACATATTTTCATTAACAAGACTTCTCTTATCATTATATCCATATACAGTATGTGTTCTGGACAGTGTTGGGGAAAGTTACTTTTAAAATTAATGCATTACAATATTGCGTTACTCCATAAAAAAGTAACTAATTACGGTACTTAGTTACTTTTTATGGAAAGTAATGTGTTACGTTACTTTTGCGTTACTTTTTAAATCTGGACAGGGCTTGCTTGTTTGTTTTTTAAATAAAAAAGTTATATTTTTGGCAAATATAAAAGCCTTTTCACACCAAAAGTGAAATGAATAAGCCTCAGGCTGAAGGGAAAGTAAATTTACGTCCGTACAGTAGAATGCAGAAAAAGATATTAATTAAAGTGATAGTTCACCCAAAAATGAAAATTCTGTCATCATTTACTCACCCTCAAGTAGTTTCAAACCTGTATGAATGTC